GTTGAGGGTTTAGGGTTGAGGGTTGAGGGCTTAGGGTTAGGGGTAAGGGGTTAGGGGTTAGGGCCTAGGGGTAAGGGTTTAGGGGTAAGGGGTTGGGGGTTAGGGTTTAGGGTTTATGGTTTAGGGATTAAGGTTTAGGGTTTTAGGGTTTAGGTGTTTGGGGTCAGGGGTTAGGGGTTAGCGGTAGGGTTTAGGGTTTAGGGTTTAGGGTTCAGGGTTCGAGGTTGAGGGTTTAGGGTTTAGGGTTTCGGGTTCATGGTTTAGGGTCGAGGGTTCATGGTTCAGGGTCCAGGGTTTATGGTTTAGGGTTCAGGGTTCAGGGTTCTGGGCTAAGGGTTGAGGGTTTAGGGTACGAGGTTCAGGGTTTAGGGTTCAAGGTTTAGGGTTCATGGTTCAGGGTCCAGTGTTTAGGGTTTATGGTTCAGGGTTCAGGGTTCAGGGTTTCTAGGTTCAAGGTTTAGGGCTTAGGGTTCAGGGTTTAGGGTTTAGGCCTTGGGGTTTAGGGTTCAGGGTTCACCGTTTAGGGTTTAGGGTTTTAGTGTTTAAGGGTTTCAAGGTTTTAGGGGTTTAGGGTTTTAGGGTTAGGGGTTAGGGTTTAGGGGCTTATGGGCTTAGGGATTTAGGGGTTTAGGGGTAGGGGTTTTGGGGTTAGGGGTTAGGGGTTTAGGGGTTAGGTGCTAAGGGTTAGGGTTAGGGTTAAGGGTTTAGGGCTAAGGGTTTTTGGGTTTAGGGTTTCAGGGTTTTAGGGTTTTAGGATTTCGGGTTTCGGGTTTTAGGGTTTTAGGGTTTAGGGTTTAGGGTTAAGGGTTTAGGGTTTAGGGTTGAGTTTAGGGTTGAGGGTTGAGGGTTGAGGGTTTAGTGTTTAGGGTTTGGGGTTTAGGGTTCAGGGCTTAGGGTTGAGGGTTGAGGGTTCAGGGTTCAGGGTTGAGGGTTTAGGGCTAGGGGTTAGGGGTTACGGTGTAGGGTTTAGGGTTTAGGGGTAACGGTTTAGGGTTTCAAGTTGGGGGTTAGGGCTTAGGGTTTATGGTTTAAGGTTTAGGGTTCAGGGTTTTAGGGTTTAGGGGTTTTGGGGCTAGGGGTTAGGGGTTAGGGGTCGGGTTTAGGGTTCAGGGTTGAGGGTTGACGGTTGAGGGTTGAGGGTTGAGGGTTGAGGGTTTGGGGTTTGGGGTTTAGGGTTTAGGGTTTACGGCTTACGGTTTTTGGGTTTTTGGGTTTTAGGGTTTAGGGTTTAGGGGTTAGGGGTTAGGGTTTAGGGTTTAGGATTCGGGGTTTAGTGTTTAGGGTTTAGAGTTTAAGGTTTAGTGTTTCGGGTTTTAGGGTTTAGGTTTTTTGGGGTTAGTGGTAAGGGGTTAGTGGTTAAGGGTACGGTTTACGGTTGAGGGTTGAGGGTTAAGGGTTGAGGGCTTGGGGTTAGGGGTAGGATTTAGGGTTGAGGGTTGAGGGTTGAGGGTTTGGGGTTTGGGGTTAAGGGTTTAGGGTTTTGGGTTTCAAGTTTAGGGTTTTAGGGTTGTAGGGGTTTAGGGATTAGTGTATGGGGTTAAGGGTTTAGGGTTGAGGTTTAGGGGTTAGGGGTTAGGGTTTGGGGTTGAGGGTAGAGGGTTGAGGGTTGAGGGTTTAGGGTTGAGGGTTGAGGGTTTAGGGTTGAGGGTTGAGGGTTTAGGGTTTAGGGTTGGGGGTTAGGGTTTAAGGTTTTGGGTTTAGGGATTAGGGGTAAGGGTTTGGGGTTTAGGGTTGGGGGTTAGGGTTTAGGGTTTACGGTTTAAGGTTTAGGGTTTTAGGGTTTAGGTGTTTTGGGGTTAAGGGTAAGGGGTCAGGGGTAGGGTTAAGGGTTGAGGGTTGAGGGTTGAGGGTTTGGGGTTAGGGGCTAGAGGTAGGGCTTAGGGTTGAGGGTTGACGGTTGAAGGTTGAGGGTTTTGGGTTTAAGGTTTGGGGTTTAGGGTTTAGGATTTAGGGTTTAGGATTTTGGGTTTTTGGGTTTTTGGATTTCGGGATTAGGGTCTTAGGGTTTAGGGTTTAGGGTTTAGGATAAAGGGTAAAGGGTTTAGGGTTGAGGGTGGAGGGTTGATGGTTGAGGGTTGAGGGTTCAGGGTTTAGGGTCTAGGGTTAAGGGTTGAGGGTTGAGGTTTGAGCGTTTAGGGTTTAGGGTTTAGGGTAAGGGTTTAGGGGTTAGGGGCTAGGGGTTAGGGTTTAGGGTTTGAGGTTTAGGGGTTAGGGTTTAGAGTTTAGGGTTTGGGGTTAGGGTTTAGGGTTTAGGGTTTAGGGGTTTTGGGGTTAGGGGTTAGGGGTAGGGTTTAGCGTTCAAGGTTCAGGGTTGAGGGTTGAGGGTTTGGGGTTTGGGGTTTAGGGTTTAGGGTTTTGGGTTTTGGGTTTTTGGGTTTCGGGTATAGGGTTTTAGAATTTTAGGGTTTAGGGTTCAGGGTTTAGGGTTCAGGGTTTAGGGTTAAGGGTTAAGGGTTGAGGGTTTAGGGTTTAGGGTTGTGGGTTGAGCGTTGAGGCTTTAGGGTTAGGGGTTAGGGTTTAAGGGTTGGGGATTGGGGGTTGGGGTTTAGGGTTTAGGGTTTAGGGTTTAGGGTTTAGGTGTTTTGGGGTTAGGGGTTAGGGGTAGGGGGTTGGGGGTTGGGGGTTGGGGTTTAGGGTTAGGCGTCACCCCGGCTGGGGATGCGTCACCCCATGGCGCTTCCCGAATCCCGAACCCCCCTCCCCACTAGCTGCTATGCAGCCGCAAAGGCCGCGCGGATACATCCGCGGGGTCGCGGCCTAGGTGCAGCTGTGAACTTGGCCGCATATGGCCGCCGCCGAGGGGGATTCATAGGATGAGACGTGTCGCCAAAGTCGTTCATTTCACCGTACCGCCGACCTTAGATCAGTTATGCACACATGTCTCCATACACTCCAATCTTCTTTGGATAACAAACTGTTTTGCAAATGATCCTTGATCAGGTGTACTATTTGAAGTGTTGCATGTCTCTCCCTCTATGAAAAAATGTGGGGTACTCCTCCTCCTCGTCCGGGCATAAAGCTCGGATCTCAGAAGTCGGGCTGTCTCCACCGAATCGATAGAGTACCCCCCCCGGTAAAACGGTTCAATCTAGGTCGATAACAGGGTCGACTTATGAAGCAACGAACCCCCACCCAGATGCTTCCTAATAGATAGAAAATATGTTCATTTCGTGTAACTTTTAGTTATTCTTATTCAACAGAAAAATTGTCGCCGAAATTCAACAAAATTTCTTTTTGATGTCTAACTTATTCACGCCAGAAGTGGTGTGACCAACTGTTGAAACTGGGTCTTCTGCTGTGTTCAACTACTCATCAACATTATCAACTTATTCCCAACGAGTCCAACATGGTTACCAACAGGTCTCAAACTTTTTCTCAACGACTCTAACATGGTTTCGTACAGGCCTCCAACATGAACTAACACGTATCCAACATGGTTCTTGATCCACATTTCGGTACATGATAGGCGAGAGAGTGTGTGTGTGGCGGTCGTGCACTGCGGCCCGGTCCTGTAAAATTACGTGTTTTTGTGGTGTTATTTGCCTTCCCCCCCTCCTTTCTAAGAACCCCTTCCCCCTTTTTTTTTCCTCCCACTTCAGGCTTTTTTTCCTCCATCATAGTATTACAGGAAACCCCGTAGCAGCCACATCCGTGCTCAAGCCTCCAGCGAGGGAACATGCAGGAGCTGCACCCACCAGCAGGTGCGATACCTGCTACAACAGGTGGGCGATACCAGCCACGGGTCAGCCGGTAGCATCAGTGAGGAATGGAAAAAAACAACACGGTTGGTAAGTGGGTGCCACTTACGCCAGAATACGGCTAAAATGTATTCGTATATGGCTCCCACTTCCCAACCAAATCGTCACAAGTGTAAGTTATGTGGTTGCGCTTTGAGGTTGCTACCTCAGGTTGTTTATGCATCTCATGCTAGGTAGTGTAACCAACTTTTAAACTTTTTTTAATTTTATTTACTAGACTTTTTTTTTTTTTTTCCTAGTATTTCTCAAAATATGGATGAATGTATCTGCATAAAAAATCACGCCGTACGCCAAAAATGCACCTGTGGCACCAAGACCAACAACTTGACTCCGAGTCGTACAGGATCATTGCAAGTGTATGGTGATGCAAAGTGACGTATGACGCCGATGTCGGACCAAATACCCTTACAAGGGTATTTGGCCATGCTTTTGCATTCGACACGGTAACGGCATCGGCTACCATGACGGACCCAGTCTGGGATGAAAAGGGTGTGCACGCCTTGGCGTGACACTTGAAACGCAGTCCTCGGCCATTGAGGCAGGGGCAGATCGGTGAGAAAATTTCGTTAGTATGCGAGCACGTTATTGTGACGCGTTGTCGGGGCGAATACCCTTACAAGGGTATCCGCCCTGGTTTTTGCATACGACAGAAAATAGGTTTAGTCTAAAGTTTGAATATACCGCGCGAGTCGCGACAGTGTCCGTTGTTTATACGGGTGATGGCTGACTAGAATAGTGAGTGTGTGGGCGCGCGGATTTAAGGCGCGCGTGATTTCTTTCCCTATTGATGATTATAGGGCCGGTGTGGAATTCCGGTTGCCTTGTCCTATTGTTATTATTTATTTATTCTTGATTAAATTAGGATTATATGATATTTTTCTTTTGAATTGTGCGGTTAATTGAGGCTTGTGCGAGTGCGTGGAGATCGACCTCGACGAAGGTGAGACGTCTGCATGATAGACGGGGTGCCCGACATCGAAGGCTGGCGGGGCGACGACCTGGTCTCACTCAGTTTTATGTTTCGAGTTTATTTTTTTTTATTTTACCCTTGCTGGTCATCGGTTCTTAGGCCGGTGCCGGGGCCACAGGACCTGTCCCAGTTGCTACGTCGATAGGCGCAGCTGGCCGGTACGGCAGTCGAGGACCTTGGTTACGCACCCTAGCTGGCAGAAAACCGGGTGGCGTGGACCTTCCGCGGGAGCGCCGTGAACGGTCTTAGGGTTCATCGAGATCTGCAGTAGGGCTTGTGTAACATAGGATCATGCTACAGGCTTGCAGCAAGCCCGCGGCCTCGGGACCGGTACCTGTGCGTGGGCCGCCCGATGGGGACCTGATAAATGGTGGGTCGTGGCTGTGCGCGGTGGGCCCAAGTCATTGGGACGGGGGCCGCGGCCATACTGTTATACAGATTATTCGTCGGTCTTGCCGCGGGGGACTTTGTGGAGGTACGCAGTACTACTGAGCGGGTCGTTTGTCAGGAGTTGGCATGGGGGCGAAAAACTAATCGAATTGTCTAGTAGCTAGTCCCCTCCGGAGTTTCCCTCCGAGTGGCATAAGCTGCCGAGCGGAGCGGTGGGACTTAAACCACCGGTACCCAGCGGATCTGAAGGCCCGTGGCTCAGCCTACCGGTAACCCAAGCCTTGTCGAGCCTCGAGCTACAGGTAGGTAGCCGAAAAAAAAAAAAAAAAAAAAAAAAAAAAAAAAANCCCTTCCCTTCCCTTCCCCTTCCCCTTCTTCCTCTTCTTCTTCTTCTTCTTCTTCTTCTTCTTCGTCTTCGTTGTTCTTGATCTTGTGCACGTCGCCAGTGTGGAGCACAGCTATGGCGCCCAGTTAAGTACCGCTGACGCAGGTATGTGTTGTTGTTGTTGTTGCTGTGCAGGTCGCCAGTGTGGAGCACAGCTATGGCGCGCAGTTAAGTATCACTGACGCAGGTATGGCCTCCGCCCCTCTTCTTCTTCTTCTTCTTCTTCTTCTTCTTCTTCTTCTTCTTCTTCTTCTTCTTCTTCTGAACAACCGATTATTATTTGATAAGTTTTTTAACGATTTCATAACTAAATCATTTTGACGTTTAGGGTATGAAGTTTCTTTGGAAACTTTAGACAAAGGTGCTATTTTCGTTTTGGGTCCCTATGGAATTTCCACCACATTTGAAAAATTGGCAAAGCAAAAATGTAGACTTCAAAGTGGCTTTGTGTACCATTATGCTTTTGTTGTTTTTGTTGTTTTTGTTGTTTTTGTTTTTGTTGTTGTTGTTGTTGTTCTTCTTCTTCTTCTTCTTCTTCTTCGTCTTCTTCTTCTTCATCTTCTTCTTCTTCTCCTGGTTGTTGTTGTGGTTGTTGTTGTTGTTGTTGTTGTGCAGGTCGACAGTGTGGAGCACGTCTATAGCGCCCAGGTACCAGTGTGGAGCACGGCTATGGCGCCCAGGTAAGTACCGCTGACGCAGGTATGGCCTCCGCCCCTCTTCTTCTTCTCCTTCTCCTCCTTCTCCTCCTTCTCCTCCTCCTCCTCCTCCTTCTTCTTCTTCCCCTTCTGCTTCCCCTTCCCCTTCCCCTCCTTCTTCTGGTTGTGGTTGTGGTTGTGGTTCTGGTTGTTGTTGTGGTTGTGGTTCTGGTTGTTGTTGTGGTTGTTGTTATGGTTGTTGTTGTTGTTGTTGTTGTCCTTGTTGTGCAGGTCGACAGCGTGCAGCACGGCTATGACGCCCAGGTACCAGAGTGGAGCACGGCTATGGCGCCCAGGTAAGGACTAAGGGGTGTATGTTGATGGTTCAATATGTTTGTGTGATTATTGGATTATTCCATGTCTTTTTGTAAAAGAGAAAGACTTTCGGGGTGGGTGTTCTGAGACTGATGATCCGTGAGAGGCTCGGGTACATTCTTAGAACATGCGATGTGCAAGGTTTTTTGGGTTCGGCCTAGCTCTGACATGTGAGGGGGAATGTTGCTTTGGCACGACGCCTTCTGTGTTATAGGCGAAAGTTGGTCTGCTCCGAAGGTGATCTCCTCTCACATGTTAGACTGGTGGCATGACTAGCCATCACCTCTCGGCGACGGAGGAGGGTAGGGAGAGTGCCGTGTGGGTACGGAAAAAACTCTCTGCAAGCTTGATCATCCCGTCGTTCGTTACCCATGGGGGAAATCGCAAAATGTGTTTTTAGGATTTTATGGTGCCAAGTTCAACCTTCACCTATAATGCCAAAGGTGTCGTGCCGAAACCAATACTCCCCCTCACGTGCTGGAGCTAGACCGTTCCCAAAGAACCTTGTATATGGTATGTTCTGAGAATGTACCCGATCCTCTCAGTTATCATCACATTCCTAGAACGCCCACCCCTCTTTCCTCTTCTTCTTCTTCTTCTTCTTCTTCTTCTTCTTCTTCTTCTTCCCCTTCTTCTTCGCCTTCTTCTTCCCCTTCTTCTTCCCCTTCTTCTTCTGCTCCTCCTCCTCCTCCTCCTCCTCCCCCTTCCCCAAACCTTCCCTTCCCTTCCCCTTCCCATTCTTCTACTTCTTCTTCTTCTTCTTCTTCTTCTTCTTCTTCTTCTTCTTCTTCTTCTTCTTCTTCTCCTCCTCGTCCTCCTCCTCCTCCTCCTTCCCCTTCCCCTTCTTCCCCTTCTTCTTCTTCTTCTTCTTTTTCTTCTTCTCCTCCTCCTTCTCCTTCTCCTCCTCCTCCTCCTCCTTTTCTTCTTCTTCTTCGTCTTCTTCTCCTCCTCCTCCTCCTCC